ACTCTGTCAGTTTAAATCTAGATTAAAGACCCATCTCTTTAACCTGGCTTACACATAACACACTTACACATTTCTAATATTCAAATCCGTTAAAGGATTTTTAGGCTGCATTAATTAGGACAACCGGAACCGGGAACACTTCCCATAACACCCGATGTACTTGCTACATCGTTAGAAGAATGGCATCTACGCTAATATTAGTCTGTTTCTCTCTTATTCCGAGGTCACCATAGCCTCCAGATACAGTCTGTATCCATATCAGATGGGTCACCGTAGCCACCAGATCCAGTACGTATCCAGCCCAGATGGTAGATCAGCACCTAGAGAGGACCTCGACAGCCCTGAATGTCAGAGGAGACCAGGACAACTAGAGGAGCCCCAGAGACAGATCCCCAGTGAAGACCTTGTCTCCTAGACGGCCACCGGGACAAGACCACAGGAACCAGTTGAGTCCTCTGCTCAATGTGACTTTGCTGCAACCTGGATTTGAACTGCTGGTTTCGTCTGGCCAGAGGAGAACTGCCCCCCCGACTGAGTCTGGTTTCTCCCAAGATTTTTTTCTCCATTCTGTCACCGATGGAGTTTTGGTTCCTTGCCGCTGTTGCCTCTGGCTTGCTTAGTTGGGGACACTTAATTTCCAGCGATATCGTCGACTTGATTGCACAGATACTATTTAAACTGAACTGAGCTGGATGATGACATCACTGAATTCAGTGATGAACTGCCTTTAACTGAAAATTTAGTGTTTACTATTGCCATTTTGCATTATTGATTGGTAATCAAACATATATTGGTATAAAACATAATTGGTGTGAAAATATATAAAAGACAGCTGGGAAGTAATTTGAAATGTAGCTAGTGTCATGGCTGATCTCGCTTTACTGGAAGATTTGGCAAAGCATGCACTGCGCAGAGAACGCCTTTTCAAAGACCGCGCTGATCTGTTTAGTGAGAGCACAGAATGGCTTCTTAGTCGGTACCACTTTCTTTGCCATGATTTAGATGAGGACATATAGGTTACATTTACATGATTTATAAAGGGAGGTGTTGTCACCATATATGGTTCATTAGAGGCATTTCTGAATGCAAATGACCATGAACGTGAATGAGCATGGTGCTTGAGAGCATGTGTGATCAACAATGATTACTTGCTGCTGTGCATATAACCATGTGCGCACGTTTATTTGTACTTACATTCTAAATTTCATCCATAGGACAAAATATAGAACCTTTTCTACGCACTGTTGATAAATGAGGGCTCAGGGGCACAAACCTTGTACGCACAAAATGGGCATAGAAATGTGCATAAGCAATTTTCCACGCACAAATCGGGATTTATAAAAAAAAAAAAAATGAACTAGGCGTAAATATGTGCGGACCGTACAGGCCATGCGTACGCACTCTTTTACGGAGTGAAATAATGAACAGAATGATTTTAAAGTCTGTTTTACATTTCATGTACACATTTATATTAAACATGACACTCTCATTAATGGAGTTAAGCACTGAAATTTCATGAAATCATTATCCAGAAGTTACAACATTTTTTATATGAAATTGAATAGGCTAGAAATATTTGTAGTGGATTTGCTGCTTTCGAACTATTTTCCTGCTGTTTTAATGTTTTTCACCACAGCAAGGATGGCGCATGACAATTGTGTTCTAAATCGCAAACCTCATTTTTCATATTTTTGATATATTCATATTTTTCATATTTTTGAGCAAATGATCGTTGATGTGAACTTGACTTCGTCTGATGGCGTTGGAACATAGACGATAATGACAGACATAAGGACGCGCTTGTTGATCGAACAGTACATTGGCTGATTTTAACAGGTCCGATGACAGTATTGTAGAACCCAGGGCCGTAGCTAGTGGGGTGAAAGGTGGTGACGATTATTGGGGCCCACGGCTGAGGAGGGGGGGGGCAGCCTAAAAAGACGCTCAGGACAGTTGATGGGCCACTGCTGCGCGTCGTCACGAAAGCTTATCATTTGCATGTGTTTTTAAGCCTTGCCGATTTAAACATTCAAAAGAGTTTAAAGCATTCAAACACAAGACGCGGAAAAAGTACTCGTGCGCCGTGTTTGGTGCACACGCAGAGAGCCGCCACGGACAGCACCACCGAACCGAGCTCTCCTTTGCGTCCTCCTGCACCTGAACGAACAAATACAAATCGCAGTTTAAACATGCAAACAGAAAAAGATGTGAAAAAGTCCAATTCAGCACCCAACACGCGCGGTGTTCTGTGCGCACGCAGGGAGACGCGTCTCAAAGCACTTGGACACCGAATTTGCCTCTTCTTGCTCTTGTACCGATAAACATGGGTCGGGCCTGGGCACGGGCCCGGGTTACTTTTGAGGTCTGGTATACAAATATGACATGGGCTAGAAAAATACATAGGCTATAAGTCTCATATGTATGCACGTTTAATCATTAAAAGATCGCGATCTCGATTCAAACACATGCGATCTTATTCCCAAATGATGGTGATTCTGCTATGTCTATTAAACCTTTGAAATCATATCACATCGGAATATTTAAACCTGCTTTTGCGCAGCCGCTGATCCAGAGAGAGCAGCGCTCATCATGTAAAGCTTCATGTTTGAAACAGCTTCACAAACAGTCTACACAGCAGGCTACATTTCTGTGTTGCAAACATTAAATAATAACGAAAGTATTGGGATAAAAGTTTATAGTGCTGATATAGACTCTGATGATGCGGGAGCCGCGATCAAAATAGGTCTTTTAAAGTAATGATATGCTGCAAATAATGATTGTATATGTTACATTATGCCAGTAGGTGGCGAACAGTGACTGTTAAATGTATTTGATGTCTGAATCATTCATTCAAGAGATTCAAAACGAAACAAGTATTTATTTATTTCAAATGATTTTAGATTTGTTTTTTTTTACATAATTAGGCTAATTCGTTTAAATTAATACAAAAATTTAAATAGACTAATTTATAACATTAATAAAACATTTTGTCAGAAACTCAAGTAGATTACATATTTTGTTTGGTTGTCTGTTTTGTTTTCAGAATTGTGGGAGAATCATAACTTAAAAATACATAGGCTAATATATGTGGCATCTAACTAATACCATTAGTATTGTTAATATTACAATTAGTTCTCCAACCCAAGAAAATGAAAGAAAGAAAATCACTCACTGCTCTTTACTGAATTACAACAGTCAAACCAAAAATTATTCAGACACCAGATATAATTTTTGATATTTTTTACAAGTGGGTGCAGGACACTATAGTTAATTTATGTAAGTGAGTATAGAAAAATAAAGTAAACTGTGACATATTATACCCAAAAATTCTTCATACACTGGCTATCGCATGTGACTGAGGATCCTGCGGATCGTTTATAGCCTTTTCTCACAGCAGCTAGAATAATTAAATGTATCATTTTGATGGCTGATGGCAATCCATTTGAATGGTATGACAATTAGAGATTAGACTGTACAGAAATTGAAATCTACATGCTAATACACACTGTATAGTCAATGCTGATGTTGTTAACATTAATAATTTGAGAATAAAGTACAACAATAATAATAATTTGCATGGTTTTATGTTATATGAGCTAACCGATCTTTAGATTAAATCGCCATTGGTAGTGCGATTTATTGTAATGCTTTTTTCCTCAGTTGGTCAGAACAAACGTGGCAGACTTGTTACTTGTTCAGATGACAATATACGGTGAAAATTCTTATTTGGGTCATATATTCCAAGACGTAGGCTAGAATCTGTTATTGCAAAGTACAGTGAATATCCTCACCGGTGCGGTGACTGACTGCCACACATACTCCTCAAAACATTAGATTCATCCGCGCTGGAGCCGTGCCG